ACAGGCTGGTGTGCTTCTTCCATGTGGGCTTTGTTGCTTCTGAGCTAGATGGCTGCTTGTTTTCCTGGAAGGTGTGCATCATGGAATGCCAATTTAATAGAACAAAGTATTCTTGCATTGAGGGAGTACTTGAGTGGAGGTCCAATGTCCCTGTGCTGCCTTAATACTAAACATATAAATATATGCATACCCCTTTACTATTTTTAACCTTGCCTTCTGTTTGATAGTTCTTTCTTTTGTCCATTGTTTTGCCTGTTGCCTCAACTTACTTATCACTTCCTGCTTTGAAATTGTCTAATGCCTCACTGTTATTTACATTCTAAATTCATGGTGTACAACCCTAATTCCTGAATATTTTATGGAAGGCTTGTTGCATGTCGTCCTCATACCAGTACTTGTTGAGGGCAGGTGAGACGTAGGCACCCACCATTCAATCTTGACCTAATCACAGCAGCCATGGCCGTGACATCAGGAAGGTGCCCAGGATTCTGCCAAAGGAAATGAGATGGAAACAAACATGCACCGGAAGTTCTGGGATGGACTCTTCCCTGGACATTACGTATAACATCCCTGAGTTACTTCTAGACACTGGTGTCCAAAGAGGTGTTTTACAGAGAAATCCTGGGAAAGCAATTCTAGAGTAAATGCTATTTCACCATTATCTGAGCACCTCTGACTTCTGAAGTGTGACTCTTTGCCTCCCACTGAAAGATAGGAAGCAGAATTCCCCTAAAAGGGGGAGAATATTCAGAGCTGAGTACAAAAAAAATAGAGGCAATATCTTTTTCAAAAATATAATTCTAAAAGGTATCTTAATTGGAAAAAGGGTTATACTGAGGACAAGGGCAAATGGTGAAAGGCTCAGTAATTTCACTCTTCATTCAACAGATATGAGTCCTCAGCTAAAGCAGCCAATGGGGATATCAGCACAAAAAGGACATAGTACATTGGACCAAATGGAATTGGCATGAGGAGTTCAAGCACTAAAACATTTACTAAATAACACCAGGATGTTATTTAAAACAGTGTGAAGAATATGAGAACAAGGGATTTTTTTTTGAAGTTGTATAAGTTTGAAATTGACATGTTGCCAATAACAATGAGGTACACACATGCACATTATGTGTTTCTTGATTTGTACACTCATGATATGATCTTAATCCTGCTTTGGGTGGAAACATAAAAGTTTACCATTTTCGGTGGTGTCATCTCAAAATATGGTCAGGGGCTCAAGCTTGGATTTTGAAGAACCTCATTATTTTGCTGCAACCATTGAGCCCCTGAGAGCTAGCACCTTATTCTCAGCTGTGAACCTGGCATGGAGCTAGGCGCTTTATACATGTGAATGTGAGAAAACGGAGGTTAATAAATTTGCCAGCATCTCAAAAAAAAAAAAAAGTTTACCATTTTCCTGGCCACCCCATTAAAATTTCTGCACACCTAAAAGTCTTGGTTTTGAGTTTATAAAAAACATGCATCTGTATGTATCTTTTGAATGTAGAGGACAATCACGTGAGAATTAAAAGAAGAGATAGCAATATCTCAGAGCATACTTTTGCAGGTGTTCTGTACATTTTTGCCCAGCACTTTTAAGGACTAAGATGGTAAGACTATTAAGTCCTGGGTGTCTTCTACTTACTGAAGTGCTATTTTTTCCAGTTGTTACCTCTATAACTTCTGAATGAAAGTTAATATGTAAGGCTGTCAGGCTTATTGTTATCTGTTTTCTTAATTTTGAGAATTGGTACATCCTGATGTTACTTAATAAATTTTGGAAACCTTCCTTAAGTTTTTTACAGTCTGTTTGCATTCTTATCTATATGAATATTGCACATACCCGATTTAATTTAATACATACCTACACACACAATACTCTTACTGCTTAGCTTATGTGTGAAAATCTGCTCATTACTAAAATTACATCTCATTTGACTGAATAGAATAGTTCCAAATAATTATTAAGGCATATAAACCAGCTATAAAAGGAACTACTATTCACCATTTAATTTAGGTGAAAAATCTTATAAAACATGTTTTTAATAAAAAATGATGTAAAACAGCATACTTAGTAGGAAATTAAATTTAGCAGTTAATTTTTTAATGATGGTGAGTTTTAATTAGAAAAGCTATTAAAATGTGTTTCAGACTGAGCACCAAATTCCCCAGTGAGATTATATTTCCCTGTATAAGTCATTTTCTTTTT